ACTGCATGGAATATATTTATTTATTTAGCTAAATATGTACAGTGCATTTATCATGTCTCGAAATACAGCCATTAAGCACAACCGTTACACTCATTTCATCAGCCCTACTTACACATTTGCTGTTCATGACAAAACCAGCATGAAGAAACGTGTTCGCCTATTACACTTTCATCTTTGAATTGTATTTCAAATCACACGTTGTATTTTGGGACAGGGATACCACTGGTTCATGCTGTAATTCAGGCCGGGTGTCTGATCAGACTAATTGCCATAAACATATAAATACTGCTGTGACCCTCGTGCGTAATTGCGCAAGATGGCACTGGCACATATTCCTTTTTGCCTCCACCTTTAATACATGTGATTCTTTATGTCGCACATCAATGTCAAACATCCTCAAATTTAAAAGCAACACATTAACTACATGTTGGTAAAGGAGTAGAAATATTTGGTCTACCTTTAGATCTGACCACTTTTTTTTTTTTGTTCTGTCGCTGTCCGTGCAGTCCCACAGACACAGCTGACAGTATCAGCAGCTTTGATGTGTTGCCACTTTTTTTGCTTTATTAGTGAACCCGCTGCTGTGGCCACCAAATAAAATCTTCAGTCCTCCACCTCCCGTTAAAGGGTCTCGAGCTCAGTCTCGGAGAAATTCCGTTTTTTGGTTCGTTTCTCACACCTGTCTCTTTGACTCACAACGAGAGAACATTCGCATGCCGGCTTATTTATATGCAGATCGCATTCATGAGGTGATTTGCATGACCATTTATGGTTGAACTAGGGCGTGTAGAGGGCGGAATATGAGGCAGATCTGGGTGCGCGCAACTCCAGGAGGTCTGTGATTTATAAAGAGAACATTGCTTGCAAGTGTGCATGCGCACGGTTTTATAAATAAGATTATTTTTTGGCGCACGCCATTTTCAGCTTTTGGGCACACGTCAACTTTTAGTATGAATCCTAAGCACTCTTTTATAAATGAGGCCTCAGGTCTTTTTTGTTTTTTTTAAGTAATTGTGTACCCTTCTTGAAACTTGTTGCTGTACCAGATCATTTTGTGTTTTGGTGTGGAGTATGTTGGTATTTGACTGATACAAAGATAAGCTTAAACGGACAGTTCACCCCCCAAAAAATTTCCCCTCTTACCTGTAGTGCTATTCATAAATCTGGATTGCTTTGGTATGAGTTGCCAAGTGTTGGAGATACTGACCGTAGAGTGTCCGACTTCTCTTGAATGCAGTTGCATCTAGTTCCATTATATTAAAGAAAAGGCAAACATCTCTGGTTGTTTTTGCTGACACATGGCAACTCACACCAAAACAATCCACATTTTTGAATAGCATTTCAGGTAAGCGGAAAAAAAATGTATTTTGGATTTGGGGCTGAAATGTTCCTTAAGGGTTAATATTTGGGGCATGTGTTCATATAAAGGCCACCACTTTTGCCTTAATTTTGCATTTACCTGAAATCTACTGTGAGATTGCTACAGTGCTTTATCATGAAGTTTAACATTGATCTGTTTTTCCACCATTCCCTCTCTTCTCCTCATAGGTGGTTTCTGGCATGAAGTACTTAATAACTGTGAAAATGGCGAAGACCCCCTGCAGAAAGGGCAGTGCAAATGAAGTGTGCGCCATCCACCAAAACCCAGAATTGGCTCGGGTAATGACGTTAACATGAGGCTATAACCATTAGACATAATGTTTACAGGTCACACAGCTGACTTGTACTTCTCTCTTCAACAGTACACCATAAACTATCAGATTGTGAAACAAGTTTATACTTCCCCTCTTTGATCAAGCTTGGTTTGTTGCTGTTCCCCCTGAGAGAAGTTGGAAGTGAGAGTGGTGTGTGAAGCGAGGGGAAGTGACTAGCAAAGATGTTGAACCATAGTCACTTTTAACCAGAGGACTAAGTTTAACAAATAAATTAACATTAACCTATTAATGATAAATGATAAGTGGACTTAATTTCAATGAAATCTTAAGTAATCATGCTCATTTAATGTTTTCTTCCTCAGCCATACCAGTGCACATTCACAGTGTGGAGCAGACCATGGTTGAATGACATCCAGTTGATGAAGCAGGAGTGCTAGAAAGAGAACTGCATGGGAAATCTCGAGTGTTGGCATTGTTTGCAAAATAACCTTCATTCAGATTAATATGTACTTCCCTGTAGTCGAACCACAAAAGTATTAACGTCCCTTTTCTGCCTATGCCACATTGCTGTATGCTAGACTGAATATCCTTTGACAGTCACTGTGTTTTAAAATAACCTTTACAGTTTAAAAATGTAAAGGTTCATTTACTTTTAGAGGAGTAACTTTCTAATGCGTAAGTGCTAAACCAAGCAAATAACTAATAATTGTGACTGAACTGTTGATTAAGCTTTTTAAAAAACACAGCTTTTTAAAATGAAATGAAAATTAAAGCAGCACGTGAATTTAAATGAATGTGTCCATGTGGTAAATACATACAGGTATTCATCTTTCGCTATCCCAACCCCAGTTTGATGTTCTGTTGTGTTTGGAAAGAGTACAGAAAAGTTTGTTTTGTGTGTTGTTTTTTCTCATCTGCCATTGGCCAGTAAGGGTATGAAATGCTCTGAAAGGTATGATTTTATAGAAAGGAAAATTTTTTAGAAGTAATAATATTACATCAGATTAAAAAAAACAACCACATTTATTGCTCTTTTTAAATACTTGGTTTAACTTCATGTAAACTTCCCTCTTTTAATGATCAGTTATGTCATTTTTTACACACATATGAGCTGGCAACTGTAGCAAAATAATATATATACCCTAGGCGATGATTTTGGAGGAGTAACCAGGGGGCATGTTGCACTCAATATTTAGAGCATATGCATTTGTCTGCCCCAACAAAACATGAAAGTAGCAGAGGACTTTTATTCTGAGAAAATTAAAAAACAATTACACCATAAATTAATTTCCCAGAATGCAAGAAATTAAGTGTTCGATGCTCAAAATCTATATATTTGGGTTATACAAATACAATTTGGATTTAAAGAAAAATAACAAAAGCTCTTCTTTCTCGAGGCAGGGTGCCTATATTTTTCTGTTTGAGAAGTGGACACAATAGATACATATACCAAGTAGATCTCATACAATGCCTCAGGTTTCATTTCAACAGGGACATACACATATATGGAATGGATACCAGAAAATTTAAAGCATTAAACACCTAAAGGTCCAGTGTGTAGGATTTAGGGGACTATATTGGCAGAAATGGAATATAATAAGTATGTTTACTCAAGTGTATAATCACCTGAAAATAAGAATGTAGTGTTTTCTTTACCTTAGAATGAGCTGCATATATCTACATTTATATATCTATGGTTGCACCACCATGTTTCTACAGTAGCCCACAATGGACAAACTAAACACTAGCTCTAGATAGGGTCAATTGCGCCTTCATGTCAGCCACTGTAGTTAGCAGCTCCTCCACAACGAGCATTTTAAAAACTGAATTGTTAAAATCTATTTTTCAATGTGAAACTGCTTTATTCGGTGTTTTTACCGGTTTGAATAATCAGGTCTATTTGTTTTGAAGAGGGAGAGATGTCTGCAGATAATTCGGCTCCCAGTTAAAACTTCCTGAACATCTGGATCTTAAGTTATCAAAGAAAAAGGTGAGCACATATATGCAGTTTATAGGCTAACAGTCCATCTCCAACATGCCAAACAGTGTAGGAGAAACACTGATTCGTAACATGAAACTGCTTTATAACATGTTTTGACTGGTTAAAATCACCAGTCAGTTTGTTTTGGGGAGGAGGAGACCTCTGCGAATAATTCAGCTGACCGTAAAAACATCCTGAATGTCTGGATCCAAAATAAGGTAAGCACACAATAAGGTATCAGGGAGAAAATATAGGAACACACTGCAGGTGTGGAGTGAGTGGCCTGTCTGTGACATACCAAATAGCATGGAAAATTTATTCATAACATGAAACTGCTTTATTTATTGTACTTTAATTTAGTTTTAATCACCTGGTCCATTTGTTTTAGAGAGGACGACACCTCTGCAGATAATTCAGCTCCTGGTCAAAACCTCTTAAACAAATGACTCAGGAAATTACAATCAGTAGAAGTCTGAGCTGGTTGCAATCTGCAATCCTCAACTACAAGCCTCTAAATTCTCCTGAATCTAGAGACAATGTTGCTTTCATTTTCTCCATTCTGGTGGTTTTTTATGCACCAATTTATGCCTTTTCGCAATCAAATTATGGTGCAAATATCTTTTGTAAAAAAATAAATAAATAAAAAGGCCCCTGCTACTTTCATGTCTTTATTGGGGGAGACAAATGCATAACCTCCTGAGACCCTGTGTCCTTATATGAGGACATCAAGGTTTACTTGACCTTTAGTCTGAGTGGGCGGAAGTTCGCTGCATTGATCAGCCTCTCATTGGGCAGAACGAGCCACCCGCTGAAATCCCACCCTACCACCTCCGGTTGTGTAGCAGTTTTCAACACGTCCTTTACTAACCTTTGCGCCGGTGTTTGATCTTGCGGGGATGTAGTCATTTTTCTGTCATGGTTCGTGTCCTGTAGCCGATATTTTTGTGGGTGTGTTATGCCAAAACCTGTTTCCCCCCCGGCAATATTTTTGCAAGCCCACCGTTGCTGTGGCACGGCCAAGAACGACTGTGATTGGTTGAAAGAAATAAAAAAAAGCCGGGGCATTTTTTTCTCCAATCTCAAAGTAAGAGTCAGTGCAGCCTGACCTTTCTTTTCTTGAGAAAGGTCTGGTGAGCGAGACTACTTGACCTTATACTTCATTAACTTAGACCTGTAGTCCTTATTTGTGGACACGTTTTTGTGCCATCTAGTGGCAGTAAGAACACAATACACTAATTCGTGTAAAAACAAGATGGCAGCCTTCCCTGCAAAGTCAGTCTGCAGCCGATCCTGGTGCAAAAGAGAACAAGGTCCAAAACCTGATCGAATCCAATGATTGAAATGTTTGTAGTTTGATATGGCAAACCATTTGACCAATTTTAGTAATAGTAAAGAGCTGTAACATTGTTAACTAGGAAGTACTTGTATGAAGACATTGGGATTTTATTATCGTCTCATTTGAGGATATTGGGACTTAATTGTCACGTTTTAAACATTGTGATTTTATTGTCTCCTTTGCTGACTTCGGAACTTAATTACTGTCTCGTTTGAGGACATTGGGACTTTATTGTTGTCTTGTTTGAAGTCATTTGGACCTAATTATTGTCTCATTTGAGGACATTTGGACTTAATTGTTGTTGTAAAACATTGGGATTTTATTGTCTCAATTGCGGACTTTGGGACTTTATTATTGTCTTGATTGAGGACATTAGGACTTATTGTCATTGACAGTCATTCGTTTTTTACACTTAGCCTATCATGTCCGGCTGATCCCAAAAAGCTAGGAGAAATTAAAAATGCATACCAAACAAAAGTTTTGGTCTCAGGTGGATATGTTGAAATATGAGGGCCATGCCTATGTGATCCCTGCAGAATCTACACCCATGGTGTCATATAACCTACTGTAGACACGGTCAGCCAGACACACACACACACACACACTGCCCCACTTCGATGTGAGCGATCAGCACATTTCTTATCGTCTGAAGGCAGCTAACGACCTGCTGTGATCGGCTGTCAATGATTTATCAAGGCGGAGAGCTTTTTTTTTATTATTAGAACAGAGGAGTTTAAGCGGTCAGGAATGGGAAACTGAGCCATTAAAGACTCTTAACTCCCGAAACATGAAGGCTTTAAACAAGGAAGAGCTGCAGATCGCTGAAGGAGTTCTGCAGAAACACTTACCAAAGAGCATAAAGGTAGACGGCTGCGAGCCTTTGAAACTACACTCCTCAATATGCATGTTATCGCGTTGTTATGTAAGCTACTGTGGCTCTAAACTTATCGTGTGTTTAGGTATATGGTTTCCTATATGGGATCAACAGGAACAAACCGAGCACCCTGGAGGTACTTGTTGATACGTGGCCTGATTTTAAGGTTGTAATTTGCCGGCCTGACCGCAAGGTTAGTTCAAATGCAATTGGAGAATTAGATACAATCTAAGCCTCCATTGATTATACATGTGTGTGCCGTGATTGCTAGATGTCGCGTTTATTTTGCAGAACAAGCGCTCCCTGGAGTTCATGCAGAAGGTGTCATACTACAGCACGGATGAACAGAGTTTAAGGAGAATGCTGTCAGAGGAGGATGCAATTGACTGGAGCTCTTATTTTATTATCGGAGGTGAGTTTAGATCATTGCAGAGCAGGCAGCAGTTTGCAGCGGTGTAACTTGACTACCAGCAAGTATGCCAGCAGTGCCGCACTTAAAGGGGAACACCACTTAAAGCTGTGGTTGGTAACTGTGATTTTAAAAATGCATATTAGCTGAAACTGTCACTGTATTCACACAGCACTGAATTAGACATATAATTTGTGGAAAAAGAAACATTTTCCTCTGCCTACTTTATTGCCTTGTAGCTTCAAAAGAACTTATTGCATGTGAACAAGAACAACCAATCAGAGCCAAGGACACTCCAATACAGCTGTCATTCATGACGATAACTGCTCATGAGCGGAGTTCAAACAAGGCTGCATTGATCAAATATGAAGATTCTGTTATTGTATCTCTGTCCCTCACCTCATGTTTTCAGAAACATATTTTAATGCAGTGGTTCCCAGCTTGTAGGTCGTGGTCCAAAAGTGGGTCGCAGGTCCATTCTGAATGGGCCACAAGTGACTCGAGAGCGTTTCAAGCTTCAATTTTGAAGTGGTGTCTCGTGCTGTAGAATAAAGTCCCGTTTTCCACCAAACACTGAAACATCCTTTCATTTTATACTTACAGTTTACTAATAAAACTTAGTAAATGTTATATGAGCCTCAAAACCAGCCACAAGAGTGACCGTCCGCTATTGACCAATCAACGGACTGCAGTGTTCACAGCTCCACCTTTAAGTTCCTGGGGCCTCATTTATAAAAGAGTGCTTAGGATTCATACTAAGAGTTGACGTGTGCCCAAAAGCTGAAAATGGCGTGCGCCAAAAAATAATCTGATTTATAAAACCGTGCGCACGCACACTTGCAAGCAATGTTCTCTTTATAAATCACAGACCTCCTGGAGTTGTGCGCACCCAGATCCGCCTCATATTCCGCCCTCTACACGCCCTAGTTCAACCATAAATGGTCATGCAAATCACCTCATGAATGCGATCTGCATATAAATAAGCTGGCATGCTATTGTTCTCTCGTTTTGAGTCATTGCGACAGGTGTGAGAAACGAACCAAAAAATGGAATTTCTCCGAGACTGAGCTCGAGACCCTTTAACGGGAGGTGGAGGACTGAAGAAAGATTTTATTTGGTGGCCACAGAAAGAAAGAAAGCGAGAAAAGTGGCAACACATCAGCGCTGCTGATACTAGCTGATGTGTCTTTGGGACTGCACGGACATTGACAGAAAAAAAAAAGTGGTCTGATCTAAAGGTAGACCAAATATTTCTACTCCTTAACCAACATGTAGTTAATGTGTTGCTTCACATTTATTAAAGGTGGAGGCAAAAAGGAATATGTGCCAGTGCCATCTTGCACAATTACGCACGAGGGTCACAGCAGTATTTATATGTTTATGGCAATTAGTCTGATCAGACACCCGGCCTGAATTACAGCATGAACCAGTTGTATCCCTGTCCCAAAATATAATGTGTTATTTGAAATACAATTCAAAGATGAAAGTGTAATAGGCTAACACGTTTCTTCATGCTGGTTTTGTCATGAACAGCACATGTCTAAGTAGGGCTGATGAAATGAGTGTAACGGTTGTACTTAATGGCTGTATTTCGAGACATGATAAATGCACTGTACATATTTAGCTAAATAAATAAATATATTCCATGCAGTCGCGCCATCCTCTCCCCCTCCTGTGCTCACATAGTGGACAATGAGACTTTATAGGCATTTCTGATTAAATACGTATTTAGAAAGTATTTCATTTCAGGATTTGAGTTGGATTTTACAACATTTTTATGAAACAATTATCACTCACTCCAAGCGCAAAATAAGGCTGCTGGATTTAATTTCAATGATAACGTGGATCTAAGGTGGATATAGCGTGACATTAAATTTGTGTGAGACATCACTAAAAATCTGACTCCACTTCTCCACATTGCCGTCTGCGTCGCCACTTCCCAGTGTCTCCAAAATGTGCGCACGCATGACTCAGAGTTTGCTTACAGGTGCGCACATTCTCCCGCCAAGTTTATTTTTATAAATCACAACCTTTGCGTGGGAAGTGGCGTACGCCACTTTCAAGCCCCGTTTTGTGCGCAAGCAAGCTTTATAAATGAGGCCCCAGATCTGTGTGCTAGGTACCCCAACAGAGGGCTGACCAAAATGGGGATGCTTAGGAACGGTACCATTACTCTACAAATAAGATTTCACAGAACATACAGTATGACATACATAAAATAGCATATGTTATTATGGAACTACACTTGAACTCCACCTCAAACAGCCAACAGTGAAATGGTTGTTAGACATTAATGTATCGCTGACGAAAATGTATATCACATGATATATAAAAGTCGGTTGCACAAAGCACCTTAAGTTAAATATTTTCCTTTAAGTCCGAGTTAAGGTTTCCCTAAAATAAAATTGGTCGCATAAAGCATCCTCAAGGCTTCTCCTTAAAGTTTCCTTAAACTGTTTACCTAAGGATTTATGCTCTTCTAGTTATCTTGGTCTTACACTTAAGGCATTGCCTAAAGTTTGTTAAACCGTTGCACAGAGGACCTTAGTAACCAAAGTAAGGACATAAAGTACCTCTGACCCCATCTTAACCACAACATGGCAGAGTTTATGGAGATAAATGAGAAAAATTAAGGCATTCTGAGAAACTGATGGACACACTTAATGATGAACAATTGACTTTGCACTATAAACTTGACTGAAAGTCAATTTATGATTGTGACCGTCTGGGGTTGGATCACCCAACCTTCCAAAGCTGTGCTCTTCCAGCCCCGTTACAATGAATGATTGCTTTGCAGCTTTATGCAACAGGATCTTTCCAGTCAGTCTTTTGCAAGGTATTTCATGTAAGCCTTAAGTGTCATACTTAGGGAGGAAAATGGTATTAATGTGTGAATCATTGTCCCACAGGATTTGACAGCGCCCATACCCCCTTGATCAAACAAGTGTCTGCTGACAGAGGAGTTAACAACCGCAGCTATACTATGGTGCATCTTCTGTATTTGCCAGACAGCAGCAGTCTGCTCACACCAGCAGTTGACAGGTATAGTCAAATCATAAAAATGTACTGTAAGGATACATGTACATATTTCACTAAAATCTGCATCAGTGAAAATTTAAATAACATTGTTTCTTCGCTCAGATGAAGTTTATCATAATCTGTCTCTCTACAGTGAGCTTGAATCAAGGATTTCATCTCTTAACCTTTCCCATGTTGACTTGGTGAATAAAACCTGGAAGTTTGGTGGGGACGAGAAGGGTCACAAATTAGTTATGAAACTCATCAACAACTTCCCGTCATGCTGCATCACTGACGGCCAGGGTCAGCCTCTCTCCTGGATTCTGGTGTATGATTACTGCGCTATGGGCTTATTGTACACTCTGCCAGAGCACAGAGGGAAAGGCTACGCCAAACTCCTGATCAGCACCATGGCCAAGAGACTCTTCGCTGAGGGCTACCCAGTGTACTGCTTTATAGAAGAGGAGAACAAGGCCTCCTATAAGCTCTTCAAAAACCTGGGCTTCACTGAGGACCCCTCGTACAGGGCAGTGTGGCTGGAGTTCAACTTTTGATTTTGCAACCATTGTGATTTAATGTATAGCTGACCCATAAACATGTAATGTTATAATGATAGTACTATAGGTGAAAGAGACATTAACTGATGCAAAATCATACACATAATGTCACCTTTTTCATAGTAGGTGCAGGTGAGATGACCAGTGTGTTAATTAAATGTATTTGAAATACCTGAAATACTTTTGAGCATTTTGTAATTTGTATTTTGCTGGACAGAAAAAAAATCGTAACACAATACTAAGAGTTTGTATTTGAAATGCTGAAAATTAGTTATTTAATATGTCATTTTATATAAGTAAAAAAGACGGTTTTATCCCCACATTTAAACTGTAAAAAACAGTTAGTCGAATCAGTCTTTGGCTAAATGTGAGTGAATCACGTGACATGTAATGGCAGGTCCAGCAACTTTCTCATTGTGAAGTATCGTATTTCCTTTGTGTTCCTCTGGACTGCAGTGTAAAGGGGCTACACAAAGGAGAGCAGTTTTTGTTTCAGGTTGTTGTTGGTATCAGGGTAAAGGGAGGAACTGATTCTCTTTCTCTTCTACTGTTTTGTACTGTGTCATACTCTGCTGTAATGGCACTGTTCTGTGTCATTGCACTCATTCACTTGGTTGCTTGTCAGTCTTACTGTCATCTGAAAGAACCAGTGCATCACCCTTGCTGCATTTCTATTGGCCACCCAATCAGTCAGTGGTCACTTTGACTGACAGAAATGCCCAGCATGCACCCCTGAACTCACAGCCTCCCAGCTCCGACATATCTGACTGGCCACTTTATTATAATTTAGCAGAGCTCATCTTTTCCATGTCAGACCCATATCGAAGCTACTAAATTCCCTAAATGTGACAACAGCAGTTTGGATAGAATATATTTCTACATTTACAAGTACTTGTATTTAATTAAATACATTTTCTCATCCCAGCATATTGTATTTTATTTTGATACATTTGACGAGCAAGAATTTGTAACCTGCAACAAGACACCATTTGGTGTATGTATGCCCGTCCTTGGTGTTTACAGGAGAGATCCAAGTTAAATTGAGCTGTGCTGATTTATGCTTTACTTTCTGTCTGCAGTTATTCAATGATGCACACACAGTATATCCTCTATACACTACACCATTGAGGCTACCTCATTTTATAAACACCAATGCAGTTATCAGTCATCACGGTCCCTTAAAATAAAGATATTTCATGCATACTTTGTTGTATTTGTGTTTCAAATACAGTATGTTCTCCTTTTCATTTCACAAAGCTTCAATTGATTCAAACTACTACACCTAAGTACAATCTTGAGGCACTTGCACTAACTTGAGTATTTCCATTTTATGCTTCTATACTTATCCAACTACATTATAGAGGTAAATGTACTTTTTATTCCACTACATTTATTTGACAGCTCTAGTTACTTTGCAATAATGAATTAAAGTGTATTATTAGGCTAAAGGTTAAACTGATTAATCATTACCATATATAGACATGCAGTATTTTTGCTTCATTGTAGGCTACCTGAGGTAAACTGTCCTTGAGTTTTCATTTGTGTATGAGCAGCTTGCTTTGTAGCTGTTTTCATGGCAGTTAATCAGTTACCTGGCTGCATCCCTTTGCCTCAGTTTTTGCGGTGCACTTATAAGGTTTAATCATAATATGTGGCTGAATCTGTGATTCTTTGTCAGACCTACAGAGGATACTCAAGGTGTCAGAGCTCGGACCTTTCAGCTGAAACAGACTGACTCTGTTATAACTCTTATTATTCTATCACTTTATTAATTAACACAAAAGACAACTTGATCATTTCAGTGTTTATTTATTCACTTCTGCTGCCACAATCTGCAGTAATTAAAATTATCCCCACCTTTACCAGCTATCAACATTGACGATATACACATGCACGCATCACTAATTTTAATTCAGTAATATACATTTTACATGAATTTGAAATGGGCCACTTTCGGTAATGAGAACTTTATGTACTTTTAGTAGGCTATATTTTAATAATGATTTTAAATGCAGAACTTTTACTCGTATTGAGTATTTTTACAAAGTAGTATTAATTAATTAATTAATTAATTAATTAAAAATTTATTTAGGTAAAAGTTGTGAATACTTCCTCCACCACTTTATGGAAATAGAAAAAAAAAGAAACTAAATATTATTATTCATAGTTTCAGTTAAAACAATCTCTCCTGTGGTCCTTTCGACGTAAACTATGGATAATATTTTTTATAGTTTGCTTGTAGAGAACACGGAAGAGGTTGTTTTGTGGTTCACCGAATAGAGGTGGCATTCATGTGTCGAAAGTGCGAATCGGAAATTCAGCCAGTGTACAGCTGTGTGTGTGTGTGTGTGTGTGTGTCCTAGGGTGCGTCCCAAGTCTCTTAAATTACTGCTAGTGCTACTGCTAGCTGACTTTGCTAGCTGTTTAGCCCCTCCCACCTAGGAAAAAATGTGAGGAGCTAGCGCTAGGAGCGATGTGCGAGCATTGTCGGTTTAAGAGACATGAGATTGCCTTACTCTGAAGCGTCACGTGAAGCAACGTCCATTCCTGATGACGGCGGCACAGCTGGATCTGCTGCATAACGGAGCCAGCGTTTAGCGTACATCCCAAGTCCCATTATATTCGCTGATCAAAGCCGTAACCACCATCATGACTTTAGTCACACACTTTTGCATGTATTACCATTGTTATTGAGACATTTGCTGAAGTTTGTCACAATTATAGAACGGTCTGTAGCCCTGCCACTGTCACTGTGATGAGCATCATTATCATTATTATTAGCATCATCATTATTATCACTATTATTAAATCCACTCGCCATCATTCAACAAGTCAGCTGCTGAGTGAATAAGACATCAGACCTGTCAGTCTGCCTCAATCAATTCAATTTTATTTATAAAGCCCAATATCACAAATCACAATTTGCCTCACAGGGCTTTACATCATACGACATCCTTCTGTCCTTATGACCCTCACAGCTGATCAGGAAAAACTCCCCAAAAAACCCTTTAACGGGGAAAAAACGGTAGAAACCTCAGGAAGAGCAACTGAGGAGGGATCCCTCTTCCAGGACGGACAGACGTGCAATAGATGTTGTACAGAACAGATCA